CGAGTTAATACTATAAATTTTGCCAAAAGTTTGTAAAGGCATCTATTTAACTAATTCATGACTAGAAAGTCATAAATAAGTGTGAAAAAGCCTAGGTTGAAAATGATAGCAAAGAATCAGTATCCTACATAAAAATAAACAATTATAGTACATGCATAGCTATAACAAATCCGACTGATTATCCTAAATATGTTCGCTATAATACAATTATTGGTTCAGTATCTACACCATCAGTCGATTCAGAATGTATACCATTAATTGCTATGTTGAAGGATATGGGCGATCAAAAATCAGATAGTATTTTATCAACAACAAACAATAGTAGTATCAATCAATGTCGTACTTGCAAGGTTGAATTTGTATCCAGAAATCAGTTGATGCACCATTTGGAAAAGGAAAATCATGGGAAACAATCACCAATGACACCTTTACAATCAGTTATATTTGAAAAACTAAATCATTTACCAACAAAACAACAAAGAGAAGCCCAGTTTATGCTGAGTAAACATCAAACAATATTTGATACGTCAAATCCGTCAGCTATCAATACTACAGTGCATCACACCATACAAACGGGTAATCATTTTCCAATTTATCATCATCCTCGTCGAACATCAAACACTATTCGAGAAGTTATTCATGAAGAAACTAACAAGATGTTGAAAGAAGGAGTTATTCGACCATCGAAGTCCCCATGGTCTTCACCGGTAGTAATAGTACGAAAAAAGGATGGAAGTCCACGATTTTGCGTAGATTACAGAAAAATCAACGCTATAACACAAAAAGATGTTTATCCACTTCCACGTATGGACGAGATCATAGAGCAACCAGCAGGTTCAACATGGTTTTCAAAACTGGATTTAAAGAGTGGATATTTTCAGGTACCAATTTCCGAATGTGATAAACCAAAAACAGCATTCGCTACTCAAGATGGTCTTTGGGAATTTAATCGTTTACCACAAGGACTAATTAATTCACCACCAACATTTCAACGAATAATGAATGAAACGTTGGGTAATCTGCGGTGGGATATATGCCTTGTATATCTAGATGACATCATTATCTATTCGAAATCGTTTGAACAACACGTCAAAGATGTCGACAAGGTCTGCCAGGTGCTAGCAAAAGCCAATTTCAAACTCAATTCGGAAAAATGTGAATTATTCAAAAGAGAAATAACATTTTTGGGACACAAAATCAATAGTGATGGTGTTTCTCCAATGCCAAATCATGTTAAAGCAATTACAGCGTTTCCAAAACCAACATCGGCCAAAGATGCCTATTCGTTTTTACAAATGACTGGTTTTTATAGAAAATTTGTCAAAAACTTTGCTCACATAGCAGCACCATTGCACAAGTTTTCGAACAAAGATATTCAGTTTGTTTGGGGATCAGACGAACAACAAGCCTTTGAACAATTAAAAGTTTGTTTAACTACACCACCTGTTTTACATTTACCCGACAAATCATCACCATACAAAGTACAAACCGATGCATCAAATTCAGGCATCGGAGGTGTTTTGTTACAATTGGTTGGAGAACAATGGAAACCTATCGCCTTCATGTCAAGAACACTCACAGCAGCCGAGAAGAAATATTCGTCAATCGAGAAAGAAGGATTAGCTATTTGGTGGTGTATCACGGAAAAATTTCGACCGTATTTATATGTAGCTGGCGAAACTTTAACAATTACATTATTACTTGTATGAGCATAATAATTCTCAACAGATTATCATTATTTATGTTAGTGAAAATGTATACACGATTTACAAGATCGAATTTTTGTGAAACGTAATCTGTGATGTGTTATTTTCAACATTGGCATTAGATGGTATTAGTGTTATTGGATTTATTGGTGATATAATGTGAATCACTTAGATTGCTATAGTAATGGTAATGGTATTTGAACTATCCGTGTACAATTCCTGGTGTAGTGGCACCAGACACTAATGTAT